TCCTCACTAGTGTAGAAGAAAGGTTCTTAAATATTCTCTTCGTCGAGGCGAATCTCATGTTCTTGCTAAATGTAAATGTCAGACATTCCTTCAGTGCGTCCTGCTTGCACAGAATAGTGGGCGTAGTCTACTGACACGTGGCACGTGAACCGTCTCTCGCGACTGACACGTGGCACGTGAACCGTCTCTCGCGACTGACACGTGGCGCTGATGGCGCCGTATTCTGAGCGACCATCTACGTGGGAGGACGTGGAAGCGGGACAGGGGAACCTCGTTACTGCCACGGTGGAGGGCGAACGAGCTGACGTGGCAGGCGACGCAGATGACGTGGTCAACCGAAAGGCACTCGTAAGTGTTTCCACAACAGACGCCAACGCCTCCCGCCCCCTTTTCCCCCTCACCCCCCACATCCTCCCCGTTCCCCCTCCTCACCCCCCACACCTTTTCTCTCCGCGGTTCGGCGTTCCTAGACCGTTACCGTTGGAATGTCCTCCGCGGCGCTATTCTCCGCAGCGCATCCCGCTAGAACACCGTACTATGCGGTGCCGTCGTTCCAAACCATCGTAGCCGTTGGTTTCGCACTATATCGGCAGGCGCGCCGCCCTAACGACGATGCGACGGTCGTCGTGATTTGGAATGCCGCGCCTGGTTACCACCATCGCCTGCTCGCGGCATTTCAGACGTCGCAGAACGACACACTCGAACGCAACGAAGACGGCGGGATGCCGCGACATCCGAATTCCTAGGTGGCCTTTCTGGTTTCCAGGCGCCTCGAAATCTCAGCTTTTAAACGCGAGAACTCCTCCGCTCCCCCCGCTCTTCCGCTCCGCTCCCCCGCTCTTCCGCTCTCCCCCGCTCTTCCGCTCCCCCCGTTCTTCCGCTCTTCCCCGCTCTTCCGCTCCCCCCGTTCTTCCGCTCTTCCCCGCTCTTCCGCTCCCCCCGTACTTCCGCTCTCCCCCGCGATTTTTGATCAAATTTGAGAAGCGTCTCAAGAGGATCTCCCCTCCTCCCCCGTATTCCCCTCTCCCAGTCAGCCAAACTCCCTATGGGAAATTGAGAGAGGCGGAAAGTGCGGAAAAGGCGCGCGCTACTAGCAGCGGGAACTGCGCTCATCCTCCTCGTTCTCTTGCCATCCTGCCCCCTCCCCCCTCCCCCCTTCCAGTCAGCCGGGCAAGCCATCTTTATGCGCCTATCCGAAATCGAAGAGGAAGAGCGGCGGAAGGTGCGGGGGAGGCGCGCGCTGCTAGCAATGGGGAGTGCGCTCATCCCCTTCGCTCTCCTCCCCTCCTGTCGTTTCTTTTCCCCTCTCCCAGTCAGCCGAGCAAGCCATCTTCCTGCGCCTATCCGAAATCGAGGAGGATGAGAGGCGGAAGGCGCGGAAGAGGCGCGCGCTGCTAGCAGGGGGAGCTGTGCTCATCCCTCCCGCTCTCTTTCCCCTCCTGCCCCTTCTTTATACCCCCCAACCCCCGCAGTCAGCCGAGCAGGCCATTTTCCTGCGCCTATCCGAAATTGAAGAGGGGGAGAGACGGAAGGAGCGGAAGAGGCGCGCGCTGCTAGCAGGGGGGGCGGCGCTCATCCTCCTCGCTCTCCTCATAGCAGCGGCGGTCGCGATCGGCGTGACAGCGAGCAAGAAGACGTGCCAGGAATCCGCGGACCAATCCAGCAATGCCACGTCAGCAGAGGCGGTGCTGACTCAGCAGGAGCAGGGGGAGTTGGTAGGGACGGTGCAGATCGGGGGAAGGTGGGGGAATGTGAGCACAGTTGTTGCTAAGCTTGACATTCAGCCCAACACCAATGGTGTTATCTCGGCAAACGGAGGAGGCGCCACCTCATTATGGGATGCTGCCACGTGGCAGTCGTCTGGGGGTGCCGTGGAGGACACGTCAGCAGTGCAGCAGCTGGCAAATCCGGAGCTGACACCTGTCGATGGGCGGGTTTTTGGCATGGGAGGGGAGAGCGGGGCCACCACTGACCCGTATGACTACATAGCAGCTGAATCGCCACCACCACCAGCACCACCAGCACCTGCAACACCAGCGTCACCACCCCCATCACCACCAGCAGCACCAGCATCCACCCCACCAGCAGTGCCGGCACCACCCCAGGCACCACCAGAAGCCCCATCCGCAAATTCGACCTCCTCCGGACCTACGGATATCCTGAGCCGGATTGCAGCGCTTATCAAGGTAGGCAAAGCCGGGTATCGAGGTAATCCTTCTGTGCGCTTTGAGTGAGGGCGAGAGCACAAGTGCAACCTTGCCTGACAAAGGTAGGTTCATGTCCCACGCTGAAGCAGAATCGCAGAATTCTGGTCAATTTCAGACCCGGAATCCTGGAGCTTCAGCCTCGAGCCGTTCAAGGAGATATATCCCCGCAATTCTCTTTTTTCCCATATCTCAACTCCCCTAACAAGTCTCAATTCTCTTTCTCCCCCAACCTGTCATCTGAACCAGCCTCCAGACCTGTCAGTGCAAGGGGTGGACTTCCAGAACGGCCACCTGTCGGTCTCAGGCCCGGATTCCTGGAGTTTCAGCCTGGAGCCGTTCAAGGAGGTCAGCCTGGATCTTACTCTCTTTTTTTTAACCTGTCTCCTAATCCAACCTCCCCCCAAATCCATCCAGCCTCCGGACCTGTCAGTGCAAGGGGTGGATTTCCAGAACGGCCACCTGTCGGTCTCAGGCCCAAATTCCTGGAGAATCAGCCTCAAGCCGTTCAAGGAGGTTAGCCTCAAACTTACTTTTCCCCAAACCTGTCTCCTGACCCAACCTGTTTCCCACACCCAACCAGCCTCCGGACCTGTCAGTGCAAGGAGTGGACTTTCAAAATGGCCACCTGTCGGTTTCGGGCCCGGATTCCTGGAGTTTCAGTCTCGAGCCGTTCAAGATCTATCAGCCTCGATCTTCCATTTTCTCAAATTTCTCTTCCGAAACCAACCCGTCCCCACATCCTACCAGCCTCCAGACCTGTCGGCCCAAGGGGTCGACTTCCAGAACGGCCACCTGTCGGTCTCAGGCCCAAATTCCTGGAGAATCAGCCTCAAGCCGTTCAAGGAGGTTAGCCTCGAACTTACTTTTCCCCAAACCTGTCTCCTGACCCAACCTGTTTCCCACACCCAACCAGCCTCCGGACCTGTCAGTGCAAGGAGTGGACTTCCAAAACGGCCACCTGTCGGTTTCGGGCCCGGACTCCTGGAGTTTCAGCCTCGAGCCGTTCAAGGAGGTTAGCCTGGATCTGACCGCACTGATCAACGTCGCGGCGGTGGTGTCGAATCCGAACCCCATCGAAATCATCGCGCAGGAGGTCAACATGGACGTCAGCTTCTACAGCGTCGATGTCGGCTACGCTAACGTGAGATTCGAATTTCGCGTGTGCAAAAAAATATTCCAAATCTTCCCCCTCTCGATTACGGTACAGTTGGTTTCCACGCGGTAAGCAGCGGTTCTGGTTTGTCACCGCTCTGGATCGCGGCCTACCAAGCAGTACCAGTGTAAATCGTGAGTTGAAAATGAATGCGCGGACACCCAACCAACCCTCCTGAGCCGAATCCGAACCCCATCGAGTTCATCGCGCAGGAGGTCAACATGGGCGTCAGCTTCTACAGCGTCGACATCGAATATGCTAACGTGAGATTCGCGTTTCAAAACATACAACCAATATACAGCGTCAACATCCACTACAAAAATGTTCTCCTTTCCGTACATTTTTCCTCCCCCCTCCCACCCCCGACTCCTGCCATTCCCACATGCCCTTGCCCGTTGCCATGTGTATGCGCAGTGCAGATAACCAAGCTTCACTCTCCCTGCCAACAGCAGCATGTGAAGAGACAGTGTTGTAGGCATCTAAAAAAATCTCCCTATCGCCACACACCCTATCTCCCTATTACCATGCCGTATATGTGTGTATGCAGATCCCAGACTTCACTCTCCCTGCCAACAGCAGCGCCACCATCACTGTCCCGTTCAACATCGACAACTTCCCGCTGCTCTCCTTCTCCGACCAGAGCCTTATCACGGGCTCCATTGCGAATGGCGAGCTCGAGTTTCAGGTGTGTGATATAGCAAACACACAACCAATCCAGTGGGTGCATTACTTGCTAGTGGTTGACTGTGGAATGCTTTATTCTAAAGAAAACCTCATTTGGTTCATGTATGTCTGCATGTTCAATGTGTGGTTTCTGTCCACGTTTTTTCCAGTCCAGTGAGTTTGCTTGTGTGATTTGATGCGGTAATGTTTCTGCAGGTTGTGATTAGTTTGAAGGCCAGGACTCGAATCTTTCAGAGCCTCACACCAGCTTTCAATGTAAGCACACAAAACCATGCATGGAACACACACACCACTCTAGACACACCACCATACAGACACGCACACACCATCATGCACACACCCCCATGGAGACACTCCTTGTGTCAAGCATTTTTGCGCATCTACCTAAATCCTTGTGTGTCAGCTCGTCTCCTGTCTTGTATTCCACTTTGACCCATGTTTTTGTGTGCCAGGTTCAATTGGTGTGTAACGCAGTGGTCAACCTGACACAAAATAACGTGCTTTCCAAGTCGTGCAGCACGAACATTGCCACGTAAACAAACAAGCAATGACTCGTTGCAAGCAGTAGCTTGTAGTAGCGAGCCACGACTCGTTACAAGCAGGCTTGTGGTAGCAACTTGGTACTAGCAAGCAACAGCGCGGTGTATTACGGTATGGGCTTGTAGTAACAAGCAATGCGCAAGAAGCAACACATCAAGAAGGCAATTGCTTGTTGCCATCTCGGATCATATGAGCAAAGCTGTGTGCTGTGCTGTGGTTGTACCAGATGCGCATTTATTTTAATTTCTTCTGGTGGGCTGTTTGCGAATCTGTAACGGTTTTGGCACTTTATTTTGACAGGAGAATCAATCAGCTCCAGACGCCCAGCTGACTGTCAATATATTTATTGAAGTACACTTGGGCATATCTAGAGTACTGGTATGTACAAATATAGGTCACACGTTTCATACTCAATTTTAGCCCCTCGTAAGAGTTGAATCAGAAATGCCAGACGATGCACTGTAGTACTGTTCTACAGTGATGTGCCTGGGTCCACCAAAGCCATTAATGAGGAAGACATTAGCGAGGACAAGCTTGAACACTTGAAAATGGTGGTCCTTCGGCCAAGCTGTGAGAGAGTAGTGAGAGAGAGAGAAGCGGAGGGAGTATTGAGGTCACTGGAAGAATTACAGAAGGCATGGAAAAGGGAGAGCAACGTGGGGTTCGTGAGGGGAAGAGGATGGGAGTGAGTGAGAGTAATTGAGCTGGAAAGGAAAGCCTTACTCTGCATCTCGGGGTGTCGAGTGAAGAGGGCGTGTTCGGCGAATGAGAGCTCTTCGGGGTCGAGCACACGGTGCAGCTGAACAGAGGAGAGGAGAGGTTGACATGGGGAGGGGGTAGTGGGGCGAGGGATTGACATGCGGGTTGGATGTGGCGCATTAAGAGGGCTTTCAATGTGTGAGTATACCATGGATTCACCAGGGCTTTCAATTCAGTTTAACAGTATTGTGCTTGGCGAATGAGAGCACTTCAATGTTGGACACTTTGACTGGAACACCTATTAAAGCCAGGATCTCAAGTAAGATAAATTGGCTTCAATTGCAAAACAATTGAAGCTCAAGTCACCCTGTTTGTGTAGGCGAAATCGAGTGGTTGGTTTGGAGGTTCAGTGTGCGACAGATTCCCGTTTTGCCCGTGAAGCAACTGCAAAACAAATTGCTGGTACATGAGATTTTTCGGGAGCTGAAACACATTGCTGGTAGTTTAGCTTCGGCACCCAACCAAATTTCTGTGCCTAGGTGGTTCGGAAGCACCCTGCGAATTGTGTTTGCTTCGCATCCCTCGTTTCAGCCCTCGTCAACTTCTCTACCTCGCTAACCAATCATAGCCTAGCTCAATTTACCAACTGCAAAACAGTTGAACTACTTGAGATCCTGGCTTTAATCTAACCCACCCCACATACACTCCCCGCCACACCATTTCACACATCAACCCAACCATCTCACACCTCTCCTGAAAGAGTCAGCTTGGCACAGAGCGGGCTTTCAGGGTCCGCGTCACAGCACGCGCTGAGAGGCATGGGGACCGATTCACCCCACCATTCATTCTGTCATACAACGTTGAGTCCACCCCACCCCACCATCTCAGACATTCACGCCTACCACTCCCGAAAGAGTCAGCTTGGCGCAGAGCGGGCTTTCAGGGTCCGAGCCACCGCATGCGCCGAGAGGCATGGCGCTCACTCAATTCAAACCATCTCACACCATCACATACACCTTGTGCTACAACAACCCACCTCCTCGAAACCGAATCGGCCTACCTGTCCTGAAAGAGTCAGCTTGGCACAGAGCGGGCTTTCAGGGTCTGCGTCACCGCATGTGCCTAGAGGCATGGCGCTGACAGCCAATGAGGCGCGAGGATCTGCTGCCACGTCAGCAGCAGAGGGATCCATCGACGTGAGGTAAAAGTAGGGCGTCCCTGGGGAAAAAGAGACAGAGAGAAGAAAAAGTGCAAGGCGAAGTGAAAGGTGTGCACAGCAGGGTGTGGGCGAAACAACCTGAGGGGTTTGTAAAGAAAATGTAAGTAGAAAGATTTTATAGTTGCAGGCTGCAGCAGCTGAATGGGGAGTGAGTGGGGGAGTGTGGAGGGGGGGGGAGAAGGGGGGGCGTACAAAAAACGTCAACTGGCAAGTGGAGCATGTGGGGAGTGAGTACACACCTGCAATTTGACGGTGAAGGTGGGGTGAAGTTACAAACCTATGCTTCCATGGTGTTTAAACATCATACCTGTTTTTAAGGAGCCTAGAAAACACACCTGTGTAGTTGCCAAGAGCTCCATCACTGAAGGAAGCCACGTTGCTGAAACAACGGGAACCACCACGGGACGGAATACAGTACAGACAGAGGAGTTGGCTTGAGTTATAGAAAATAAAAAAAAGGGAGAGTTCTTGGTCATTGTCAAAGAGAATATCCTTGTTCACACGCATGAAAGATATACATTTTGTCATTTTTAAATGCAATAAGCTGCTTACCCAAATGGTGAGCCGTCAAGGTGCCGAGAAATTGTGCTGCACACAAGATTTCAAGGGCAGGTGGAATAGAACGAAACATTGTGAGTCAACTCTCAGACTGTCACAAAACCTACTTCGCCTCAGATCTTCTGTTGCTCGGAATCTGGGGGGAAATTACCGGCAAATAACATCCTACTGAAGGCTTTCTATCAGAAGGGAGTAAATTGTGCTAGTATGCTCCCCGTGTGACAATAATCTCCAACAGCAATCTCTCTTCTCTACAGTCCAAATCCTAGCCATCTTCATGTTTCCAGCAATTATAGTATCCCCCACGTGCTGAGCGCCCGTTTTTTTAGCAAAAAAAAAAAAAAAAAAAAAAAAAATCCCCGTAATTTGCGCCTGATTCGTCCCCATATTTTCCACCAGCCTACCTGAGTACTCCCCAAGTGCTGCGCGCAACCAACCATCGCGCGAAGGCCGCCGGATCCTTCCCACTGTAGCTCAATATTCCCGTCAACGTATCTCCGACTCGGCTATAATCAACCTTGCCACTCTGAATCCTCGTCAACTTGTCGGCCAGTCCGTTAGATTCGTCCTTCCCATAGTCAAACCTATCCTGACGACGCGACGTGTCGCCAGGCGTTGCAACTTGACGAAAATTCTCGCCTCGACGCAGTTTTTCCCATCTACTAGTAGATGCTGCAGAACCGGCGGAAGCAAGAGATAAGGCGGCGACCAGCAGAAATATGAGAGAAGGAAACCTCGTGAAAAACTGCGTGCTGAGAGGCAAGCTAGACATCGTGATAGAGTTCTGTCCCCTGAAAAACTGATAGATTCCTGCGCCGCAAGTGGCGTCTGAATTCTCCGCGAGTGGCGGCTGAATTCCTGCTCCGTGAAATCTGCTGCTGTTGTGTCCGTTGACGTTTTGCTTCAAGGAAGAAGGGGGGTAGTGAAGGAAATATACTCGTTATTGGATGACCTCGTAGACATTTCGGTTAATTATCAAATACACCTGAGCGGACTCTGACTTTTGTAGAAGTTATCGCAAGAAATTCGCATTGAAGGTTGGAGTGGCACACATATCCACTTGACCACCCTCTCCCTCATTCCGGAACGACCTTTCCTTCCCAGCTACCCATCCTTTCCCCCATTCCCACCCTTTCCCCCATTCCCCATGGTCCCGCCCGCACTCGCCTCTGCTTCCCCTCCCCTCGCCCCGGTTTCCGCCTTCACTCTTCCGCCAAACCAGCAGCCGACCGCAAGGTCCAACCCCAGGTTTCTCTACCCGCTAGTCTTCACCTCACCCTCCACGGTTTCGAAAGTTTCCAAAAGGTGAAAAGTCCAACAGTTTCGAAAGTTTCCAACAGTCCAGAGCGGTAAATAACTGTTGGACTTTTCACCACCTGGAAACGTACTGAACCGCACGGAACGATCAGGGGTGAAGCCGCGAAACGGAATGGAAGGAACTTCTTTCTAAAGAACTGTAGCACTGTTGTACACCTGATGCTCTTGCAGGGGCCCATTTTCGGCTGGACGGTTTGGCCTCAGTCGAGCATTGCCTTGATCATGGGGCAAAATGGGCTTGTAGGTAGTGTCAGGGTTACCAGCCCGAACTGTATCGAGGTAAAACTGGGTTGACTCGCTTGTCTTTTCTAGAACTGTTTGCTAACTCTTCTGCAAACTTACAAAGCAAGTTGCAAGGCTCGTAACAGTGCGTTGCGTGTGCTCTTGTAACGATTGGGCCGTTTCCCGTAAAACCCAACCAGTTCTACTGTCGGGTGTATGAGTGTGTGGGTTGGGCCGTTTCGTGAGCATCACCTGTACTCGCTTGACCAACTTAGTTGGCTAGCAATAAGTTCGTTGGTTCGTACTTAGTTCGTGATTATTTTCGCACCGGGAGTCTTGCGTAAGATTTTACTCGCGTCACGTCCCGTTTGCAGCTTACGTCTTCACTGTTAACAAGCTTCTCGCTGTAAGTAGCTCTAGCCTTCACGACGTACGTTTAGGTTTAATTCCCGAAATGCCGTCCAGATCGCCGTCTCCTCGCAGGCGGAGCCGCAGCCGCAGCCCTGTCCGCAGTCCCGTCAAGCGGCGAAGCCCTAGTCGGAGCCCGGTGCGGGGACGCAGCCGGAGCCCGATTCGCCGGCGCAGCCGAAGCCCCGTCAGGAGTCCCGTTAAAAGCAGAAGCCGGAGTCCTTATAAGCGTCGGTCGAGGAGTCCTGTAAAGGGGCGGAGCCGGAGTCCACCGTTCAGGCGCGGAAGCCCCCGGGGGCGGAGCCCTCCGCCGAGAAGCCCAGACCTGGAGTAAGCCGCATACAGTTATCCATTTCGTGTTTTTTTCAATCATTACAGTTATCGGTTTCGCAGCTTTTCTTGCAGAGTCTAGTTTAACGAAACAGTAGCTTACGAAGCAGCCTGAAACGTGTCGTTATTTGTTTTAAGAGCCTGCAGACTTGTGTTCTTTCGTTCTTTTGCTTGATAATTCTTCCACATTTCGTACCGTTGGTTTCAGCGACCAGTCAAGGAACCCTGGAAACAACCTTTACGTGACCGGCCTGTCCATGCGGACGGCAGAGGCGGAGCTGGAGAAGCATTTCGCGAAGGAAGGAAAGGTATTACATTTCTCCAAGCATGCTTGATGCAACTCTTATTACCGCTTTTCTACTCATCATGCTTAACGCAACTTTGCCTTATATTATTTCATTTTATTTTATCAAAAGAACGGAAACTAGTGAGTCTATTCATGAGCCATTCTTTGTCACCGCTCACCTCTTGACTTCCTACATCCACCCTCGCTTCCTGGAAGACTGATTACCAACGCTCATTTGTCTTTCTTCCTTTCCACGTGTTTCGTCTCCCGCAGGTGGCGGAGTGCCGGCTGGTCCTTGACCCGCGCACCAAGGAGTCGCGCGGCTTCGCGTTCGTCACGATGGAGAACGTCGACGACGCGCGCCGCTGCCTCAAGTACCTCGACCGCTCCATCCTCGAAGGCCGCGTCATCACCGTCGCGCTCGTACGTTCGCACCGATCTCTGAAACTCTGTTGAATTTTCCCGTTTTTCGCCTCCCTCTCTGTGCGCGGTTCTATGTTTTTTGCGACGCTGGTTTGAATCACCGTCTGGTTCCTGTTTCACGGTTTTTGCCAGCTGTTTCTGAGGTTGACGTTTCTCGTCCTCCCTCTCTCTTCTCTCCACCATCTCCGCTCTCTCCCGTCTGCCTACCCAGCGTGGGTTAGACCAATGCTGCTCCGCCACGCATCCCCTATTCGTCTCCCACATTCAATGCCCCTTAGCGTCCTCGACCTTAGCGGCGTCGACCCTAGCGGCTTCGACGTAGCGCCAATCAAGCGCCAAACACTTGCAATTACGCCACGCCAACCAACCCCAACAACCCTGCCTGCACCAACGAACGAGATTCGCATGCACCTCACCAATACTGCAAGCGGCCAATACTGCTGCATTGCAAGCAACCCCCTTTTCGGCATCAATTTCTGCTTCGATTTAAGATTCCGCCTCGATTACGTGATATCGAGTCTGCTCGGCGTCGAGCGACTGGTCAGATCCTGCCTCAACCCCAACCCCAATGCCTATTGTTACGCCTCCCCAACAGCTCCTTCGACCCCGATCCAAGCATGCGCTACCGGTGGTGTTACTTGCTTTCTGTCCCCATTTCCTTATGACATTGCATGCATTACACGAGTCTTTGCATCTTGTTTTCTTCATTCACATCGCCTCTCCCATAGTGTCTGCCCTAATATTTGCATTTTGTCTGAGAAGGCTGGTTTATTATAACAGTTTGCGTCCAGCTGCCTCAAGAGGTTGGTTGTTGGTGGTTTCTAACCTCCTTTGGCAATCCTGTGTTTCCAACAGGCGAAGAGAAAGCGCGCTCGAACCCCAACTCCTGGCAAGTTCCTGGGCACTCGTAGCCTGAAGGAAGCTGTTGTGGTTGGCGGTGGTAAGTGTAGGCTCTTGTCAGTATATTACTTGTATAAAGTTTGGCCTCACCGTTTTCTTAATGTATGATGTAAATTGGAAGCTCATGTAAGTTTGTTAACATGGGTTGAATGCTCAATGTAAGTAATTTGTCATTTTTGTCTATTCTGCTCTCCATGCTGTTTACTTGTCCCAGCAGACCGCAGTTCTGGTGGTGACAGGGAGTTCAATCCCCGCCGATCATCACCAGACTACCAGCCTTACCGCCGAGACAGATCACCTGATTATGGCCCCTATCGTGGAGCAGGTTACAGGTACGATTGCATGACTTGAGCATGTGTTACAGTTTTGCCTGCAATAATTGCTGGAGCTTTAGGTTTAGTATTTGTTGGCAGCATTGTGGCTTGCATTTTTCACATGTTGAACCTGTGGAAATGCGATGTGGAGGTTTTCAGCAGTGTCCATGTAACGTTCCCTGACAGCATTCCCACACACCCACCCCAATTTCCTGCTTTCTCTCTGTTACAGGTAAAATATGTTGTAACCAAGACGTAGTGTGGTCTACTGACTGAGGATAACGATTCCTAAGCTTTACTGTCCAAGTTTACTAGTCTGCTGCTATTTTCTAACGACTAGGCTGTGATTCGTCTTGTGATTTTGCTGAATAAGGTAGCTCTTACTTCTATTTTTCTTTTACGCACCAGAAGCCCCAGGAGATGAACGAGCTATTTGAGCAATCGCGAACTTGTACTATCGGAGCCAATCTGATGAAGTGCGACTTTTGTCAGTTCGCCACCCAATCACGGCGCAGCCGAATGCCGTGTTCTTGGCGGGAAAAGCGGCACACTCGAGTTCAGCTCTGTTCAGTTCAGACAAACCAGAATCTAGGAGAAGCCAAGATTAGCAGACGGCACACCACCAGTAACAGTGGGCTCCTAAATTAGTCTGAGACTACCGAGGAAACCAAAGACGGTTGTTTGGGCCTCCGGAATTCATAGATTATTAACATTTTCTAACAGCGTTTACCCTCCCGGGGATTTTTGTTTTTGTCATTCTTTCTTTCTTTTGTTAGGCCTTCGTTTCCGACCGTTTCCCACAGCGGGCTCGCTTCATAAAGCATCTCATCTGCATATTCAGAATCATGGTTCGTCGGAAGCCTTTTCGAATTGCGATTCCGGATGTCGCGGTAGCTCTGTTCGTCGCGTGTCTAGCCGCTGCTGTCTCCCACGTGGCTGCGATATCCAATGACGCGCAAGACGAAGAAAGGCTCATAGGATGGAAGGGGGAAAGGTAGGTGTAGCTGTTGCTAGCGTGTATATTGCTATTGGGATGATCAGGATTGCCTCTGGTAGGCTGTCGCGTCTCCCTTTCTACAGGCTTATCCCGTCGACTCCTTTTGCCTTCAAGTGGTAAATTCGATCCATCTCAGCAGCAATGAAAATAACTCATCTCATTACATGGATAGGACTCACCTCATCCACATTTGTATCCGTTTGCAATGCTTTCCATCCCTCTGTATCCCCTCATGTCACTTCATGCAGTTTGCGTTTCGCCAAGCAGCTTCAACTCAACCAGTGAAGGCAATCCATCTCAGCAGCAATGGATACACCTCATCTCATAAGAGCCGGAATTTCTTTCACAGCTGTATTCATCTGCACCGCTTTCTATCTCTTTCTATCCCCTCGTTTCCGTTCATGCTCTTTGTGTTCCTCCGAGCAGGTTCAGCTCAGCCAGTGAAGACGATCCATCTCAGTTCATCTCGTGGGAGCCCAGGGCCTTCTTCTTCATCGCTTTGCACCTCTTTGTATCTCTTCGCATCCATCCTTATACCTTTGCGTCCACTTGTGCCCCTTACGTTGCCCCAAGCAGCTTCAACTCAACCAGGCAAGACGATCCTTCCCAGCGGCAATGGATAGAGCTCATCTCGTGGGAGCCCAGGGCCTTTCTCTTCCACAATTTCCTGGTAGGATTCTTTAGTTGTATGCTTCTATATTGTATATTAGTGTTTGTGTCGATTCCAAACCAGCCAGGGCCTTTCTCTTCCACAATTTCCTGGTAGAATTCTTCAAAATTCCCCTTTTGTATCAGTTTTTTATGTCGACTCAAAACTGCCTAGGACCTGTTGTAACAGTTTCGTGGTCCGCTGTGGTCAAGTCGACTGTCAACCATATCATTCCTTCTCCTCGCCATGCCCTTATGCTTCCTTCCCATCCTCACCCATCCTCACCGATTCTTGCCACTGACTGCCAAGGAGTGCCTGTATCTGGTTCATAAGGCCTCGTCCGGCGTGGTCAACCAGTTTAGTCCTCTGCTGACCAATCCAATCCCTTATGCTTCGTTCCCATCCTCAACCATCTCTACCCATCCTCAACCATCCCTACCCATCCTCAACCATCCCTACCCATCCTCAACCATCCGTACCCATCCTCACCCTTCCTTACCTATCCTCACCCATTCTTGCCACAGACTGCCAAGGAGTGCCTGTATTTGATTCACAAAGCCGCACCCAACATGGTCAAGTCAACTGTAGTGGACAGCGACTCAGGCGGCTCCTACAGCAGCAAGTGAGTCTTCCTGTAACGAGTAAGGATAGGGATCGGTGTAGACCGCTCCTACAGTAGCAAGTGAGTCTTCCTGTAACGAGTTCAGACTGGGATCAGTCTAGGCGGCAGCTACAGCAGCAATCGATTCTTCCTGTAGCGGGTATGGGCAGGGGCCAGTCTAGCGTAAATGGTGTTGCAGTTGCAGATAGGAAGGAAGGGTGAATTTGTGGACCTATGGTGTGCCCTTAGGATTTGAACATTTAAACAGTGTACCCTTCCTATTGCGATGGTTTCTGTTGTGGCAGGATACGGACGAGCTCAGGGTCGTTTCTGTCACGGGGAGCCGATGAGGTGGTGGCTTCTATCGAGAAGAGAATATCCGACTTCTCGCACCTGCCTGTGGGTGAGTCACTAGATATCTGAAATAGGGGGGGACATTCGGACCATGCGGTGCTGCAGGCTCGTTTCTGTCACGAGGATCGGACGAGGTGGTGGCTTCTATCGAGAAGAGAATATGCGACTTCTCCCACGTGCCTGTGGGTGAGTTCCTATCTAGGTGAGATGCTTTGGGGGTTGATTAGATAGCCAGAAGAAGAGAATGGAGGAGAGAAGAAATCACCTGACTTCTCGCACCTGCCTGTGGGTGAGTCGCTAGCTATGATGAGAATGCTTTGGAAGCTGAACAGATAGCCAGAACAAGGGGGTTGTGTACTGATGGGGTGCTACAGCTGGGGGTGTCTTAGCCACCGACTCACCAACAGGAAAGTGAGGGGAGAGAGAGAAGATCCGACTTCTGCCTATTGGTGAGTCGCTAGCCAGCTGGGAATGCCTTGAAGTAAAGAAATCGCTGGAATGGGTTTCGTGTGCTGGAGTGGTATTTGTGTAGAGAAGAGAATATGCAGTTCTTCTTTCCACTGATCCCTTCACTTACCCCTTTTGCCTTCCGCCTCCATCCCCTTCCCATTCCCCTTCCCCTTCCCCTCTTTTCCCCCACCGCACCAGACCATGGAAAGCCCGTCCACGTGTTACACTACAAGCAGCTCCCTCTCCTGCTCCCCTGCTCGCCTGCTCCCCTTCCCCCTCTTCCCATTCCATCAGACCACGGGGAGGCCATTCACGTGTTGCACTACGAGCCCTCCCAGGAGGAGGGAGTACCAGTCGCACTGCTAATGACAACCCATCCCTTCCTCCTTCCCCCTCCCTCACCCCTACATCGCCCTCCATCAGACCACGGGGAGGCCATGCATTCGTTGTTATACGAGCCCTCTCACGAGTACCAAACGCATTTCGACTATTTCCCACCCGCACCTTCTGTCTTCTCCTTCCTTCCACCCACTCCTCAGACCACGGGGAGGCTATCCATGTCTTACACTACGAGGCTTCCCAGGAGTACCAGGCGCACTTTGACTATTTCCACGATGACATCAACACACGCAACGGGGGACAGAGGCTTGCTACCGTTCTAATGTACCTGTGAGTGTGGCAGAGAGGGGGTTGGGGTTGTGAAGGAATGGGCCCTCCCAGGAGTACCAGGCGCACTTTGACTATTTCCACAATGACATCAACACACGCAATGGGGGGCAGAGGCTTGCCACTGTTCTGATGTACCTGTGAGTGTGGCGAAGGGTGCGGGTTGGGAGGGGTGTGACTGTATTGGATGGAATATAAGAACGGGGTTATAGGGCCCTCTCAGGAGTACCAGGCACACTTTGATGGCGTTCGTCTGAACTGCTAAAGATTTCTCGCTCCCCTCCCCACCTCTTTCATTTCGTACCCCCCCGTTCTCGCTCATATCTCCATCTTCATTCTCTTTCTCACTCCCTCCCTGCAATATAAACATTCCCCATATAAAAGTCGCGTGAACTGAGACGATTTTTGAGGCGCCTCAAAAACCCCCCCGTTCTCACTCAGACTTCCATCTTCATTCTCTTTCTCATTCCCTCCCCCTCTTTCCTTGTCTCCCTTTTTCTCCAGCTCTGATGTGGAGGAAGGAGGGCCGAGACGGTGTTCCCAGCAGCACATCTCACCCCGACCAACATCCACTCGCCGTTCCCACCAGACTCGCAGCTCTCCCAGTGCGTCCAAGGGCCTGCGACCCTAAACCCCGTCTCTCCTTCATTCCCTGCCATGCTTGCCCCTTTCTCACTCCAGCTCTGATGTGGAGGAAGGGGGCGAGACAGTGTTCCCAGCAGCAGAGCTCACCCCGACCAACATCCACTCGCCTCTACCACCAGACTCGCAGCTCTCCCAGTGCGTCCAAGGGCCTGCCATCCAACTCCCTCTCTCCTTGCTTTTTAATCCTTCCCTCTTCCATCCCCTGCCATCTCTTCCTCTCTCGCTCCAGCTCTGATGTGGAGGAAGGGGGTGAGACGGTGTTCCCAGCAGCAGAGCTCACGCCAGACAACATCCACTCACCGATACCACCAGACTCACAGCTCTCTCAGTGTGCCAAGGGCATGCTGGCTGTGAAGCCCAAGCGGGGCGACGCACTGCTGTTCTGGAACCTCAAGCCCGATACAACTCTCGACCCCAAGAGTTTACACGGTGAGTCCCATGTTACCTCCCTTGCCCTCAGCATACACACAGCAGGGGCGACGCACTGCTGTTCTGGAACCTCAAGCCCGATACAACTCTCGACCCCAAGAGTTTACACGGTGAGTCCCATGTTACCTCCCTTGCCCTCAGCATACACACAGCAGGGGCGACGCACTGCTGTTCTGGAACCTCAAGCCCGATACAACTCTCGACCCCAAGAGTTTACACGGTGAGTCCCATGTTACCTCCCTTGCCCTCAGCATACACACAGCAGGGGCGACGCACTGCTGTTCTGGAACCTCAAGCCCGATACAACTCTCGACCCCAAGAGTTTACACGGTGAGTCCCATGTTACCTCCCTTGCCCTCAGCATACACACAGCAGGGGCGACGCACTGCTGTTCTGGAACCTCAAGCCCGATACAACTCTCGACCCCAAGAGTTTACACGGTGAGTCCCATGTTACCTCCCTTGCCCTCAGCATACACACAGCAGGGGCGACGCACTGCTGTTCTGGAACCTCAAGCCCGATACAACTCTCGACCCCAAGAGTTTACACGGTGAGTCCCATGTTACCTCCCTTGCCCTCAGCATACACACAGCAGGGGCGACGCACTGCTGTTCTGGAACCTCAAGCCCGATACAACTCTCGACCCCAAGAGTTTACACGGTGAGTCCCATGTTACCTCCCTTGCCCTCAGCATACACACAGCAGGGGCGACGCACTGCTGTTCTGGAACCTCAAGCCCGATACAACTCTCGACCCCAAGAGTTTACACGGTGAGTCCCATGTTACCTCCCTTGCCCTCAGCATACACACAGCAGGGGCGACGCACTGCTGTTCTGGAACCTCAAGCCCGATACAACTCTCGACCCCAAGAGTTTACACGGTGAGTCCCATGTTACCTCCCTTGCCCTCAGCATACACACAGCAGGGGCGACGCACTGCTGTTCTGGAACCTCAAGCCCGATACAACTCTCGACCCCAAGAGTTTACACGGTGAGTCCCATGTTACCTCCCTTGCCCTCAGCATACACACAGCAGGGGCGACGCACTGCTGTTCTGGAACCTCAAGCCCGATACAACTCTCGACCCCAAGAGTTTACACGGTGAGTCCCATGTTACCTCCCTTGCCCTCAGCATACACACAGCAGGGGCGACGCACTGCTGTTCTGGAACCTCAAGCCCGATACAACTCTCGACCCCAAGAGTTTACACGGTGAGTCCCATGTTACCTCCCTTGCCCTCAGCATACACACAGCAGGGGCGACGCACTGCTGTTCTGGAACCTCAAGCCCGATACAACTCTCGACCCCAAGAGTTTACACGGTGAGTCCCATGTTACCTCCCTTGCCCTCAGCATACACACAGCAGGGGCGACGCACTGCTGTTCTGGAACCTCAAGCCCGATACAACTCTCGACCCCAAGAGTTTACACGGTGAGTCCCATGTTACCTCCCTTGCCCTCAGCATACACACAGCAGGGGCGACGCACTGCTGTTCTGGAACCTCAAGCCCGATACAACTCTCGACCCCAAGAGTTTACACGGTGAGTCCCATGTTACCTCCCTTGCCCTCAGCATACACACAGCAGGGGCGACGCACTGCTGTTCTGGAACCTCAAGCCCGATACAACTCTCGACCCCAAGAGTTTACACGGTGAGTCCCATGTTACCTCCCTTGCCCTCAGCATACACACAGCAGGGGCGACGCACTGCTGTTCTGGAACCTCAAGCCCGATACAACTCTCGACCCCAAGAGTTTACACGGTGAGTCCCATGTTACCTCCCTTGCCCTCAGCATACACACAGCAGGGGCGACGCACTGCTGTTCTGGAACCTCAAGCCCGATACAACTCTCGACCCCAAGAGTTTACACGGTGAGTCCCATGTTACCTCCCTTGCCCTCAGCATACACACAGCAGGGGCGACGCACTGCTGTTCTGGAACCTCAAGCCCGATACAACTCTCGACCCCAAGAGTTTACACGGTGAGTCCCATGTTACCTCCCTTGCCCTCAGCATACACACAGCAGGGGCGACGCACTGCTGTTCTGGAACCTCAAGCCCGATACAACTCTCGACCCCAAGAGTTTACACGGTGAGTCCCATGTTACCTCCCTTGCCCTCAGCATACACACAGCAGGGGCGACGCACTGCTGTTCTGGAACCTCAAGCCCGATACAACTCTCGACCCCAAGAGTTTACACGGTGAGTCCCATGTTACCTCCCTTGCCCTCAGCATACACACAGCAGGGGCGACGCACTGCTGTTCTGGAACCTCAAGCCCGATACAACTCTCGACCCCAAGAGTTTACACGGTGAGTCCCATGTTACCTCCCTTGCCCTCAGCATACACACAGCAGGGGCGACGCACTGCTGTTCTGGAACCTCAAGCCCGATACAACTCTCGACCCCAAGAGTTTACACGGTGAGTCCCATGTTACCTCCCTTGCCCTCAGCATACACACAGCAGGGGCGACGCACTGCTGTTCTGGAACCTCAAGCCCGATACAACTCTCGACCCCAAGAGTTTACACGGTGAGTCCCATGTTACCTCCCTTGCCCTCAGCATACACACAGCAGGGGCGACGCACTGCTGTTCTGGAACCTCAAGCCCGATACAACTCTCGACCCCAAGAGTTTACACGGTGAGTCCCATGTTACCTCCCTTGCCCTCAGCATACACACAGCAGGGGCGACGCACTGCTGTTCTGGAACCTCAAGCCCGATACAACTCTCGACCCCAAGAGTTTACACGGTGAGTCCCATGTTACCTCCCTTGCCCTCAGCATACACACAGCAGGGGCGACGCACTGCTGTTCTGGAACCTCAAGCCCGATACAACTCTCGACCCCAAGAGTTTACACGGTGAGTCCCATGTTACCTCCCTTGCCCTCAGCATACACACAGCAGGGGCGACGCACTGCTGTTCTGGAACCTCAAGCCCGATACAACTCTCGACCCCAAGAGTTTACACGGTGAGTCCCATGTTACCTCCCTTGCCCTCAGCATACACACAGCAGGGGCGACGCACTGCTGTTCTGGAACCTCAAGCCCGATACAACTCTCGACCCCAAGAGTTTACACGGTGAGTCCCATGTTACCTCCCTTGCCCTCAGCATACACACAGCAGGGGCGACGCACTGCTGTTCTGGAACCTCAAGCCCGATACAACTCTCGACCCCAAGAGTTTACACGGTGAGTCCCATGTTACCTCCCTTGCCCTCAGCATACACACAGCAGGGGCGACGCACTGCTGTTCTGGAACCTCAAGCCCGATACAACTCTCGACCCCAAGAGTTTACACGGTGAGTCCCATGTTACCTCCCTTGCCCTCAGCATACACACAGCAGGGGCGACGCACTGCTGTTCTGGAACCTCAAGCCCGATACAACTCTCGACCCCAAGAGTTTACACGGTGAGTCCCATGTTACCTCCCTTGCCCTCAGCATACACACAGCAGGGGCGACGCACTGCTGTTCTGGAACCTCAAGCCCGATACAACTCTCGACCCCAAGAGTTTACACGGTGAGTCCCATGTTACCTCCCTTGCCCTCAGCATACACACAGCAGGGGCGACGCACTGCTGTTCTGGAACCTCAAGCCCGATACAACTCTCGACCCCAAGAGTTTACACGGTGAGTCCCATGTTACCTCCCTTGCCCTCAGCATACACACAGCAGGGGCGACGCACTGCTGTTCTGGAACCTCAAGCCCGATACAACTCTCGACCCCAAGAGTTTACACGGTGAGTCCCATGTTACCTCCCTTGCCCTCAGCATACACACAGCAGGGGCGACGCACTGCTGTTCTGGAACCTCAAGCCCGATACAACTCTCGACCCCAAGAGCCTACATGGTGAGTCGTGTGTTACACCGCCTTTTGCCCAGCCAACATACACTCACCGTTACAGCCGGACTCACAGCTTTCCCAGTGTGCAAGGGGAATGCTGGCTGTGAAGCCCAAGCAGAGCAGGGCGACGCGCTGCTGTTCTGGAACCTCAAAGCCCGATACAACCCTCGACCCCAAGAGCTTGCACGGTGAGTGTCAGCCTCTTGTCCAGCCAACATACCCGCAGCAGCACTGCCACCACAGGACTCGCACTGGCTGTGAAGCCCAAGCAGAGCGGGGCGATGTATCCATAAACCGTATTCATATATCTGCTTGTTGTTTGTTTCCGTTGTGTGTCTATTATTGTCGTAACAGCTGGATGCCCAGTTATTCGTGGAAACAAGTGGAGCGCTACCAAGTGGATTCGCGTGCAACCTCGACATGGACAATATTGATTCATAGTGTACTTATATGGGCCTTGGAGATACAGGCCGCCCAAATAATTCAGGCAGAAGTTTTTTTAAGCGTTTCTTGCTGCTGCTTTCCAAAAACAAGATAAGAGAATCGGTTGTACGATTGCCATAATATCATAACGAAGTGCGCGATAACGAGTCTGGCGTCTTATGGCACAGCTAAACTGAAGCAGCCACTCGTTCGTAGCGAGCCTGCGTCCGAATCGTACTAATCGAAAGATTTCGATGCTGAGAGAAGGTTATTGGGTCAGCGCAGGGAGGACGTGGTTCTCCGAGGTCATGGCGGGACTTGAGTATTGAAGTGCATTTCCTGTCGCCACTTTGAGTTGTGGGTTCTGAGGCACCTCGAGATTGCATTGTCGCGTCCGCCTTTCAGGGTGACTCGATACTACTAGATCGCAGTCTGTAAAAGCAACGTTCGAAGGGCGCGCATGTGCGACCGCGCGCACGAACCTTAGTAGTCATCCCGAGTCGCTGTCCCCCCAGAGGCCAAAGACTCTTGAGGCGCTTCGCCAGTCGCGCCGGAGCCCTCGGGCTGCCATGGCGGGTGTTGGCGGCGCGTTCGGCGGGAGCCGGTCGCTGCAGCCGCTTCCCCCGGAGAAGGGCGTGTTCCCACTGGACCACTTCGGGGAGTGCAAAGAGGTGCGATGCAGTTGATGGGAGATATGGGTGTTTCGTCATTGGGTCTCTGTTGCCTTGTTGTTCTGCCTTTAGAATTGCCTCGCTATTGAGTGATTCAGGTGATACTTAAGTACTTCAGATTGCATCAAGCAGGCTGCTGGATGGAGTTAGCTGGTCTCTAATTGTGTTGCTCCTTTGATATGTGACATGTCTCGCTATTGAGTGATTCAGGTGATGCGCGAGTACATGGATTGTCTGAAGCAGCACGGCAACCAATCAGACAAGTGCCGAGACATTGCAAAGAAGTACCTGCAGTGCCGCATGGACAGGTGAGCTTCCTTTGTTGCTGCACTCTAGAGCACTTCAGGAACTGCTGATCTAGAGGCGCCTGCAAGGACAGCAGCCAGTCAAACAAGTGTCGAGACATTGCAAAGAAGTTCCTGCACTGCCGCATGGACAGGTGGGTTTCCTTTTGAGTCGACTCAAAAGTCTACTGCACTGCCGCATGGACAGGTGGGTTTCCTTTTGAGTCGACTCAAAAGTCTACTGCACTGCCGCATGGACAGGTGGGTTTCCTTTTGAGTCGACTCAAAAGTCTACCTGCACTGCCGCATGGACAGGTGGGTTTCCTTTTGAGTCGACTCAAAAGTCTACCTGCACTGCCGCATGGACAGGTGGGTTTCCTTTTGAGTCGACTCAAAAGTCTACCTGCACTGCAGCATGGACAGGTGGGTTTCCTTTTGAGTCGACTCAAAAGTCTACCTGCACTGCCGCATGGACAGGTGGGTTTCCTTTTGAGTCGACTCAAAAGTCTACCTGCACTGCCGCATGGACAGGTGGGTTTCCCTCCCTGCCTGCCAAAGCCCTTTAGACAATGCCTACCTTCACGTTCTTCCAAAGACAGCAACCAGTCAGACGCCAATTAGACAAGTGCCGAGACACTGCAAAGAAGTACCTCCACTGCCGCATGGACAGGGCAGGGGAGCTTCCCTTCTCTCCTGCATTCCAGAGCTCTTCAGGAACTGTTGACCGGGAGGTGCCTGCAAAGACGGTAACCAGTCTGGCAAGTACCTGCAGTGTTGCATGGACAGGGCAGGGGAGTTTTTTGAGACGTCTCAAAAGGTTACCTTTATCAAATACGGTAACCAGTCCGGCAAGTACCTGCAGTGTTGCATGGACAGGGCAGGGGCGCTTCCCTTCTCTCCTGCGTGGACAGGTTAGGCTTCCTTCACTTCTCTTGAAACTGCCACACCTCTCCCCTGTCTCCCCTGACTTGCATGCTCCTCCCTCTTCCCCCTGCCCCTTTTTTACCCCTTGTTACTCCTAGTCCCCATGTTCCTCCTGTCCCCCCTGTCCCCCCTGTCCCCCCTGTCCCCCCTGTCCCCCCTGTCCCCCCTTTCCCCCCTGTCCCCCCTGTCCCCCCTGTCCCCCCTGTCCCCCCTGTCCCCCCTGTCCCCCCTGTCCCCCCTGTCCCCCCTGTCCCCCCTGTCCCCCCTGTCCCCCCTGTCCCCCCTGTCCCCCCTGTCCCCCCTGTCCCCCCTGTCCCCCCTGTCCCCCCTGTCACGCACCTCATGGCCCCACAGGCACCTCATGGCCCCGCAGGCACCTCATGGCCCCACAGGCACCTCATGGCCCCGCAGGCACCTCATGGCCCCGCACGCACCTCATGGCCCCGCAGGCACCTCATGGCCCCGCACGCACCTCATGGCCCCGCAGGCACCTCATGGCCCCGCAGGCACCTCATGGCCCCTCAGGAAGTGCCAGATCTCGGACTCCATACGATATCAACAAACTCAGTTTTGTGGACTGCTGTACCCATTTGTTTTCAACAAACGCTCACTTGTGTCCCCTTCCCCCCCCCTCCTTGCTCCCCTTGATTATCCAATGCCATGCCAGAAACCTCATGGCCCCTCAGAACCTGTCAGAGCTCGGATTTGGCTCAGCACCGGCCACAGGAGAAGCATCCTCAGCAGGAAAGGCAAGCGCGGGTCAACAGACTGCTGCTGAGGCATCTGCAGCTGCAGGTGCTGCTGAAGATGGTTCGAATAGCACCACAAATAGACGAGAGGCTCGGGGATTTGCTGGAATTAATCCTAAGTAGTAATCTCATAGAAAATGAATGCTTGATGCTAACGGCCATGAATGAAGGTGTAGGAAGGGAAAGCGCTTCTAGTAATATAGAATATAGAAAGAAGATACGGGCGTTATCTGAACCGGATGTGTTTATTATGGTGTGGCATGGCATGGCAGTGTTGTCTGCACAAATGCTGAAACAGCTTATTGCATACTGCATATTGCCATTGTAATTCTTCTTGATACCTGTTGTAAATCCAACTACATATTCAGATTCTCTCGCCTTAATTGCCAGCAAATACATTTCATTTTACATTGATAAATCACTTAGCACAACGCACAGGCTACACCAGCCAGCAAGACAGGAACTGATGGCAGGCGTGCAGAATGCAATTCCCTTTTGCAGCTCCAGCAAGGGTTTCTGTATTTGCTTCAAAGGCTCCATATCTCCTTGTGTGGCACACGATGTGCTTACTTGTGCTGCAGAAGGCACAGAAGGGGGAATATGACATAGGTGTGTAGGAAACATCACCTTAACATTGGCATCAAATATGAGCACACTACACATGAGGGCTCTAGGCATGATATGACACGCAATAGGGACAATGATAGAAGCACAGCAATTAGGTACTTGAACATGAGCCCAACGAACATGAACACACCCTTGTGACAGACCTTATGGGTGACGTCAAAATTACCATACAAGTACCTATATATCAAAATGCAAGTCTACTATAGCTGTAGGAAGCAAAATTTGGACTGCAGCCATACATATGTACATTAACGCACCAAACTGTACCTTGCTGAAGCTGATACACCCTGGAGTAAGTGCGGACGCACTGGCGGCAGCAGTTGAGGCCAAAATAACTATCCCTGGTGTACCAAACTACTGAAATTTTATACAGTACATATTGCTATGAACATAGCATATAAAACGCCAATATTACTGTACCTTGATGAAGCCAATGTCCTTGGAGTAGGTGCGGAAGCACTGGCGGCAGCAGTTGAGGCCATACTTGCGGATCATGCCGTGGCAGTTACCGCACACCCGGCTGCCAACCAAGACAGCCAGGCGAGGGAGGGAAGAGGGACGGACGGGATACATCAATGACAATCAGACACCTCAAGAGTACTCGCGGGTCATGCCGTGGCAGTTACCGCACACCCGGCTGCCGTGGCAAGCAAGAGAGAAAGGAGCGGAACAGAAGGGAATATTGGGTTAAGACCCTCAAGGGATTCGTCTGCAAATGTCATGACGGATCATGCCGAGGCAGTTACTGCACACCCGGTTGCCAACCAACACAGCGAGACGGATCAGGGAGGGTACGGGACGGAAAGTATAGATTAATGTAACCTCAAGGAGGTTTCCAGGCACCTCAGAGGTACTTGAAGCACCATGCCGTTGCGGCTACCGCACACCCGGCTGCCAACGAAAGGAGGGAACGTGATCCGAAATGTTCAGGAAAGCGAGGGAGAAATGGGAGAGGGGTGGGCGACAGCGGAGGCTGTTACTGAGAATAGCGAGGTCGCTGTGTGCACCAGGGGGTGTAGCGAATGTCATTTCAGATCCACTAAAGAGCTCACGAGTCTACTAGAGCGCTAATACGATTAGGGACGAATCAACGCTAAGTACGATAAACCGTATCTTTCCACAACCTTCGAGGGCCAGAAAAAAGCCAGTGGTGACCTCTTGGTACCCCTAACGGTAACCTTTCGCACACAGGAACGCGGTAATCCGTGGACAGACGAGCGACCTCCACGTGTACCTATCCTAACCCTAAAAATTAACCCACTCCTTGATATCCTTTGCACAACGAGCACAGAAATCAGGCTCACCAGTAACGGGCAAAATCCACGTGTACTCTTCCTACCCTAACTGTAACCCAGAGCGGGGTAACCGGGTAACCTCCACCATCCCCTGTAGCCTTTCGCAGTAGCGCGAAAGGGTAAACCACCCTCTCCTGTAACCTTTTACAGCCGCCAAAGGAGGCAACTTCCTCGTGTCTTCATCTAACATTAAGATAACCTACGTACTACCAACCAACACTGTAACCAACACTGTAACCAGCATCGTAACACTGACTTACCAGTGGCGGGCGCCAGGGGAGTGCTTCTTCGGGTGCGAGTTCCAGACCGTCTCGTGACCCATCGTGGCTCGCGGGAATCGACGGCGCCGCTGCATATAACACAACAATTCGACGGCACAGACGCAACGACGCGACGTGAGAATACTTCTTTTTTAATGGCGCAACGAATGGCGCGAGAAGCGGCAGATTGCTATTAGATGACAGTGTCACTGCCGCGGCACAATAGACAAGCGGTAGGAACGGTCCAATCGACGCCTAAACCTGCGCAACTCTTAAAAGGAGGTGTAAAAGCCGTACTAAAGGCCGAACAGCTAAAGGCGGTTCCCGACTGAAGTGTCATGTCTGACGGATCGCGCAAGAAACGAACCTTAGGGAGGCAGGGAGAGGCGAGAGTGAGTGTGAGCGGAGAATGCGCGAGCTGAGAGAAGGGAAGAATGGAGGCGGGCTAGGGTTTTCAGTGGTAGGGGATGGGGTGGAGCAGGAGAAGCACAAAATGAAAGTAATTCTTTGTGTATTCAGCAACCGTTATGACCTGAATGTGTTTGAGTGTACCAACTTGATGCAGGAATTTGTCCTGTACTGAATGCTCCTTCAGTGCTTTATCGAGGGTTGCAGTGATTGATGATTCCTTTTTGCCCTGAAAGGACTTTCTGGGATTCGCGTTGTCGTCTGGTTCGGGGAGGAGCCAAAACTAACACACATTTCAGCTTGTTCTCAACCTGCAAATGAGGGACATTGTGTCACCGCGAATATTAGTATCGGAGCTTCTCCATATCGAGGACCCGGGTTTGTGCATGAACGATTTACACGATGCACGCGACCCACTGAACTGACCCTAGTCTGCACAAAACGGAATTCATGAATCATCCTCCTTATACGACGCGAAGCGGGTCAACCTAGTGGTTCAGCCACTTTGAAGGAAATACTCCACGTGTTATTCTTTTTCACGTGCCACGGTTCTGTATGGTGCGTCACGGTTAAGATCAGATAAGGTTTGCAACCGTAAAATACCGATTGCGACCGCACTAAATGATCAGTAGTCACCCTGAGGAACCACAAATTTGATGAGCATCTTCCCAGCACCTACCCAGCAGAGTTGATAAAATTGGTAGCTAGAGCCACATAGCTGATGCATGCGTTATCTCGAGCTTGCATAAGGCCTTCCGAGGCGTTGCGCAGGCCTGCTCGAGCGATGAGTGCCGTGCATTCGTCCGCTTTCAGAACGACATTCGTGACGCCTCTACCCTCCTCCTCAGCGTCATACCGTAATCGGGTAACCCTATGTCGCACAGCCACATCACCGTTTTTGCAATCGGAGCCGCGACGCGTCGCGCGGCAAACGCAATGCCGCGCGAATCGCGGCGGAGATATCCCGGACACGGATTGGATGACGAGGACGGACCCCTGGGAGCTGCTAGGCGTCGCGGAAGGGTCCTCCGTCGATGAGATTAAAGCAGCCTTTCGCGCCAAGGCAGGTGATGTGACACGTGGCGTATAGCTGTTGGCGATGAGGTGCCGAGACGATGTATTCGTTCGTTGCTGTCGGATTTGCATCCGTTTACGAATAATCTCCGTTTTTTCGAATGGCATTCGTACTACACCAGCATGTCAGGCATTCTTTTCTCAACTGCCATTTCTTTAACGATTAAAAATGAACGGCATCCGTACTCCCCCTCTCCATTCTCAACCGTCAGATCAAGAACGTCCATCCCGACGTGTACCGAGGGGAGTTGGATGCTGAGGCGATCACAACCCGCCTCGTGCTCGCCTATGAGGTGAGCTACCCGCACCCTCACACCCTCCCTCCCTCCCTCTCTCCCTCCCACCCTCCACTCGTGCTTGCATACGAGGTGAGCCGCTCCCCTCCCTCCCACTCTCCACTCGTGCTGGCATATGAGGTGCACCGTTCCCACACTCCCAACCTCCCACCCTCCCACCCTTTCACCGTCCCCACCTTCTTCGTCCACTCTCCACTGCTCTTAGTCTTCCCCTTGCACGCTCTCCTCTTCTCCTCCTCCCTCCTCGCTCCGGCCTCCACTCTCCCACCCCTCCCGTCGCCCCCACACCCCCCCTCTCATGCTCTCATGCTGTATTCCCCCCTTCCTCTGGCACATGCTCATTTTTTAGGTCGACTCAAAACACCCCACACCCCCCCTCTCATGTTCTCATGTTGTATTCCCCCCTTTCTCTTTCACATGCTCATTCCCCCCCAGTTGCTTCTAGAGGAGGTGGAGAATCCCACGGGAGGCAGAAGGCAGTTTCGGGCTATTAATACCACCCCCACCCTCCCACCTCCCCTTTCTCATGTTGTATTCCCCCCTTTCTCTTGCACATGCTCAACCCCCCCAGTTGCTTCTAGAGGAGGTGGAGAATCCTACGGGAGGCAGAAGGTGAGCCGATAACAAGGTGACTTTAGAGCCGACTCAGTCGTTTCTTGCAGTTGCTTCTAGAGCAAATTAAAAACCCTGCGGGAGGCTCCGAGGCAGAAAGTGAGATAAGATGCATGGATGTGCCAGAACGCATGTGTGTATGTACACATGCGTGCATGTGCTTGCATGTGCGCGTGCCCATAACCATGTGGGTTGATGTGCAAGTGTGCGACTGTGAGTAAACCAAAACAATGCTTGTGGGTGTGCCTATACGCATGTGCTGCCTGTGCGAACCTGTGCGTGCAGATGGAGGAGAGAGGAAGAGGAAGAGGAGGAGGAGGGGGATCTATGGCCCTGGGTCAACGAAATTCGTTGCCTTGGTCAATGTGAGTCAACGCCAGCTCATCAACCTCCATCTCTGCTCCTCACTACCTGCTCCTCGTCTGCATGCTCTTTTGCCTCTCCTCGGTTTCCCCCCTGCTACAGCCTGCCGCTACAGCTGACCAGTACGCCTGTTCCCTGTTTCCTCCACCACAGCCTCTCATGACAGCTGCACTGTAGTTGCTCTCTTTTGAACTCTTGCAAACACCTCTTTCCCCTCGCTTCCTGCCCCCCCTGCTTCAACCTGCCTCTCTAGCTGCACTTTGCAAGGAATATTTTTCCCGTTTGCCTGTTCTCACCCCTCGACCCCTACAGCCTGTCACTACAGCTGCACTGTTGCTGGCCTCGTTTCCTAGTCTCACACACTCCTTCTCCCCCCTTCCCCCCACTCCCCCTTTTTCCCCCTTATGCTACAGCCTGTCGCTCCAGCTGCATAGTGACTGCGCCCTTCCTCTTCTCCTATGCGGAGGACACAGCCAGGGCCCGTGCCATGTCCCCTGATGCCTTCCAAGGTAAATGGTGGTGATTGGTGCTACAGCCGGTAAGCGCTACAGCCCCTGTCGCTCCAGCTGCATAGTGACTGCGCCCTTCCTCTTCTCCTATGCGGAGGACACAGCCAGGGCCCGTGCCATGTCCCCTGATGCCTTCCAAGGTAAATGGTGGTGATTGGTGCTACAGCCGGTAAGCGCTACAGCCCCTGTCGCTCCAGCTGCATAGTGACTGCGCCCTTCCTCTTCTCCTATGCGGAGGACACAGCCAGGGCCCGTGCCATGTCCCCTGATGCCTTCCAAGGTAAATGGTGGTGATTGGTGCTACAGCCGGTAAGCGCTACAGCCCCTGTCGCTCCAGCTGCATAGTGACTGCGCCCTTCCTCTTCTCCTATGCGGAGGATACAGCCAGGGCCCATGCCATGTCTCCTGATGCATTCCATGGTGCATGGTGAGGTAGGAGCGACGGCCTGTTTCCGCTACAGCCTGCGGCATGTCTTGCATGTTAGTCAATAGCATTTGCCAGGGCCCATGCCATGTCCCCTAAGACAACATTCCAAGGTAGGTGCTGGTATGCATTACTGGGTGCATTACATGCTCTCAGATATCATTGCGATGCCGTGATATCAGAGAGCATGGTTTCAGGAAAGTGTAGTTTTGAGGCGCCTCAAAACTTGATATCGGAGAGCATGGTTTCAAATAAGTGCTTCCCAGGCTTTGTCTCCCTTAGAATGCGTTGCAATGTTAAGAAGTTCCCTAAACCATCTCACCTCAAGTGTACACTGTTCTGAGCACAACCAAAAATAGGTTTCAGATGCTGCTTATGTGATGTGTCACTAATGTGCTCTTTAGCTGTATTCACTTGATGTTTATATTGCCTCTGTTTCAATCACGTTGCTACTGTGCAGGGTGGACAGTGGGAGGGGAGACTAAGGACAGGGCTCGTTACTGTGTCAACCTGGCTGTGGGGCAATGCCCTGAGCTTTGTATACACTATGTAACATCGGCACAACATGCTGAAGTAACTGAAAAGCTTCAAGGGTATGTGTTGTTCGTGGTTATTAAGATGTTCGTGTTTTTATTTCTTCTGCTTTTGCTCTTCCTCACATCACCCAAGCACACGCTTTGATCATTTTGCGCCCCTTTTTTTTGCTAAATATTGTCCTCCTTTCAAAACTTGCTATGCCCACCCTCTCATCCAATATGCAGGATTGTAGATGGGATGGTACCCTTGCAAGAAGGTGCTTTTGACATTCAGTCGTACATAGCAAAAGCCACGTATGATAACAATCGTCGACCACGACCAAAGAGAAGGCCTAAAGCAGAAGGCGAATATGTGGACTGGTATTAGGAGCTGGTGATTCTTGATTACTGACTCTGTAAATTATGTGAATGGTGTATTTTAGTGTTCTAATTGCATGATGGAGCTACCTGATTCATCAGTCAATAACGCTCGATCTCCTGCGATGCGACGCCGCAATTTGACGTCTCCTCATCAGTTCTTCCCTTCCCGCTCAGGGCTACCGATCAGGGCCCTGGAGATGCTTCGCTGCGACGACCTGGAGATACCGCGGTGAAATGCCTCATTCGCACAGCCTTCCCATCCCACCTCAACATCCTCCACCTTCGATCACCGACCCATCAGTTTCTCATCCACGTGGCAGAATCTCCGGTCTGCCACTAAGGCAGCAAGAAGCTCGGCGTTCCCGAGAATTTGGGAACTCCAAACCTAGTTTGGTTCGGAATACAAACAAGTAGGTGAACACGGCTGTCTCATGAGGCTGGCTGGAAACTCAAGTGCTGATTTTTGTTCAGTTGTTGAGGGATTCACCGAATTTCAAGCAATTTAGGGACGTCCTTAGAATTCCCGCAACATAGATAGCCTTGTTGTCAGGCCTGATCAGGCAGTTTGGTTACTCTGATCCTGCTTGCATCAAAAGGTTTCGGATCAAAATGTCTTATCCCTAATTGGTTATGTTCTCGCCGCTTACGTGTTGTGGGTGACGGCGTAGCTATCGAGAAAGCTGCATTACGTCATCGTGAGCCACACTGACGACAGCGGGCCACTAACTGACATTCATAAGCTAACAACACTGACTGACACTCACAAGCCACTGACTCGTCCGTCGCAGTGGGAGTGAAGGCAAACCCGACAACGTGTGTGCAACATTGCCTACCTCCATTCCCGAGACGTCGAGCCTTCACGACGTATTGCCAGATCCAATGTTGCTGCTGTGCGTTTTATGACACTGCGCTATAGCTGCGATCCAAGCAAATGCGTTACTAGCGAATCGCTACCAGTAACTCACTGCTGGCAATTTGCGCTATTACAGCGCATGCCATCTGACTCAACAGCTGATCGTCACTCGCCAGCTCGTCTTTTGATCCCTAACTCAACACTTAGACTCGTTAAGCAGCGGCTTATAACGGATCCGCCATGGCTGGCAGTATCGTGAACATCCCTGGTATCACCAGCAACGGCAGCACGGCCGCGCTATTCCACCTCATCCTCCCCCAGCGATACGTGATCGTGCTGCTAACGCTGGTCTGCTCCGCCGTGTGCTATATCGAACGCGTGGGGTTCTCTATCGCGTACACGGCGATCGCGATCCGCGAGGGGGTGGATCAAGCGACGAAAGGATGGGTCATGTCGGCATTCTACTATGGATACGCATCGTCGCAGGTACGCCGCTCTCTCTACCCTTCCAAAAGACGCCCTTTGTATCTTCTTTCCAGAGACTCCCTCTCTACCATTGTTTCAAGGGAGTTGATCAAGCGACCAATAGGTCACGTCGACCTTCTATTACGGATACGCATCGTCGCACGGTCGCCGCACTCTCTACCCCGGTTCGTGTATTTTCTAGACGCCCACTTCCCTCTTCCTCCGCTCTCTTCTCTCTTTCCGCTCCCGCATTCTCCCTGACCTATGAGAACGGTATCAGGCGTGTGCTCGCATCGTCGTTTGTAGCTTGCCTCGCTGCTTCCTATTGCCATATCATGTTTCCCGTTCTCTCCCCCTCACCTCTTCTCCCGTCTCCCCCTCTCCTCCTCTCTCCCTCTCCCCCTCTCCTCCTCTCTTCCTCTCTCCCTCACTCCCTCACTCACTCCCAGGTCCCAGGCAGCTGGGCGTCTCAAAAATACGGCGGCAGGCGCGTCCTCACGTACTCGTTTGTAGCCTGGTCCATTCTATGCGTTCTAACGCCCACCGAGTCACCCCCTGACAGCACCGGCAGCGGCCCCAACACAGTCACACTCGTTATAATCCGCCTGCTAGTAGGGATCGCCCAGGGATTCATATTCCCCGCTATACACACCGTATTGGCTCAATGGACCCCCCCTCACGAGAAATCCCGCGCAGTGAGTCTGTCTATGTCGGGGATGTACCTAGGAGCAGGCATAGCCATGCAGATACTACCCGGATTAGTAGCCTCTAGAGGTCCCGAGTCGGTGTTCCAATTAGTAGCGGCTATGGGCGTCGCGTGGACTATTTTATGGGTTAGATATGCGACGGATCCGCCTGGGGGGGCGACGGCGTTTGCGCATGTGCCTGTGGGGGGCGGCATGGGGGGGCATAAGGGGAGTGAAGCGGAGCTGCTTCCGCTGGTGAATGGGGATGGGGAGCGGGGGCGGGTAGGCGGAACAGGGATGGAGACTGAGGTGGTGCATAGAATAGGGGGAGGCGGAGGGGGAGGCGCGGGAGGGGGCAATGGGGGGAGTGGCGGAGGTGGAGGAGGCGGGGGGGGGGGGGGGGGGGGGGAGGGGGACTGAATTCAAGCACAATTTCCGCGTTAGGGCTAGGGGCAAAGGGGGGAAGGGCGGAGGAGGAGGAGGATGAGGAGGAAGAAGAGGAGCAGCGGCTAAAGAGACTCGGTCAAGGCTTCGCCTCAGTGCCCAAACACCTCAAAACGTCATACAAGCCATCGCAACTTAAAGACCCTCCTATTCCCTGGATACCCATTCTCACCAGCGCTCCCGTCTGGGCCATAGTAGCTAATAACTTCACTTTCCACTACGCCTTATACGTTCTTATGAACTGGCTTCCCACATACTTCCACCAGGCTTTAAACACCAGCCTGCACAACGTAGGATCCGGGAAAGCCATGCCTTACTACATAATGACGCTCTTTTCCAACATAGGAGGTGTACTGGCGGATCACTTAATCGCCAAACGGTATCTGACTGTAGGGGGTACAAGAAAGGTCCTCAACACAATCGGATTCTTCGCGTCAGCAGTCGCCCTAGCCCTCACCCCCGTCCTTAAATCCGTCAACGGTGCTGTTCTTTGCTCCTCTCTCACCCTAGGCGCCTGTGCAATCGCCAGGGCAGGGTTTGCTGTGAACCACATGGATATAGCGCCTAGGTTTGCAGGAGTGGTGATGGGTGTGTCGAATACAGCAGGGACTATGGCAGGCGTGGTGGGTGTGGCGGCTTCTGGGTTGATTCTTGAGGCGTTTTCGGGTGGAGAGGGGTCAGGAGGAGTGGGGAGCGGTGGAGTGGGAGGAGTGGGTGGTGTGGGAGGAGCAGGAGGGGGAGGGGGAGGAGGAGGGGGGATTGATCCGGGGTGGTGGTGGGTGTTTTTCACGCCAGCGTCCCTCTGTGTGGTCAGTGCTCTGATCTTCAATGCGTTCGCCACGGGAGAGAGGATCTTTGAGTGACATTCCTATTTGTGAGTGGACTCAAAAATTGAGTGACATGCCTGGCAGTAGAGGTTGGAAATTCTGAGCCGGCTGACTGCCACGGGAGAGAGGTTTTTTGAGTTCTTTGTTTACCAGACCAGCTGCAGTGCGAATGAGCATGGGAGGGGAGGAGGTGGAGGAAGAGGAGGGCGGATTGATCCGGGTGGTGGTGGGTGTTTTTCACACCGGCATGCTTCTGTGTGGTCAGTGCAGTGCTCGTTAACGTGTTTTCCACGCAGGGGAGGGACTTTGAGTGACGTGGCTGGCTGGGTAGCTGGTTGGAAGACAAACGAGTGTGGAAGAGTGGGAAGGGATGGATTGGGTGCGGGGGACTCTGAGAGACTGATCGCTGGAAGAGACGGGGTGATGGGCGATTCCGAGTGCTTGGGTGAACTGATTCCAAGCTGCTCGCGAATTGATTCCCCAGTGGTCAATGCCAGAGGGGAGGGAGATTCGAAGATCTGGAGGGTGGCAGAAGTGTGAATGCTCTTATGCACTCACACGTATCCTCTCAACCACCG